CATTATTGAGTAAAAAAATTTGAATTTCATCCCGTTTGTTAGCGGGACGGGATGGGACGACCGTTTCGTCCCGTTTGTCCCGTCCCGTTTCGTCCCGTCCCGCTACCGTCCCGCTTAAATGTCGTCCCGTCCCGTCCCGTTGGACAGCCATAGATATGGTTGACTTTGATATCATTCTGGGTATGGATTGGTTATCACCCTATCACGCTATCTTGGACTACCATGCCAAGACCGTGACTCTAGCCTTACCGGGTATGCCTCGCTTAGAGTGGAGGGGGACTCCAGGTCATTCTACCTGTAGTGTCATATCGTACGTGAAGGCTCGACGTATGGTCGAAAAGGGGTGTCTGNCCCGTCCCGTTCCGTCCCGTCCCATCCCATCCCATCCCGTTTGTTAGCGGGACGGGATGGGACGACCGTTTCGTCCCGTTTGTCCCGTCCCGTTTCGTCCCGTCCCACTACCGTCCCGCTTAAATGTCGTCCCGTCCCGTCCCGTTAATTTCGTCCCGTCCCGTCCCGTTGGACAGCCATAGCCGCGCTTCAATGCCAAAAGAAATTTTAAAAAGTTAAATTCTTCCAACTATTAATTTGATTCTTGTCCAACCAAAAAGCCGGGGATCGCCAGCTCCAAATTTTCCAGCTCTTCAATAAAATTCTAACACAAAATTGATTCTTTTAGTGGAGTTTTCTTCCATATACAAGATTTAATTAAGCTGGTTAATGGGAACTACTACTACCACGCCAGATGAGTGGCCGCCGAATGCGGAATTCCCATTTGATCTTTTTGTATGGAAGAAACACAGGGCTTTTTGGGATGCTGGAAATATCCAATTCACCGATTCTTCTGGCAATTTGTTCTTCAGAGTTGACCGTGGTCAATCGTCTGATTCATCAGCTCATAGTCTGAAACTAATTCTTGATGCATCTGATAATACCCTAATTCGCTTAGTTCCATTAGTTGTAAGTTTTCTCTGTTGCTACCTCTAATTTGTTGAGATCATGTTTTAGCTGTTTAATTTAGGAAGAATTAATTCATTAATTACTAAAAGGAAGCTCCTTTCTATGTGCAAATGGAAATTGAGTCTTAATGTTAATGGTGCTTGTTATTGGCTCTATTAGGGATCGTTTGGTTTGAATACAAGTTATGTCAGGATTAGTTATGCTGGGATTGGTTATACTAGTATTATTTGTTGTTGATTGTATATTAATCCTGAGATTGTCAGTTTTACTTTATCCTCCTGAGATTACTATTCCACCCCCTGGCAGGTTGTATAAGTTATCCCGGAATTATTTTTATTCCTAGGATAACTTATCCCAAGAATAGTAACTAAACAAGGGATAATGCGGTACTAAATTTTTATCCCAGGATTATTTTTGCTTATCCACAATACTAAACTACCCCTTAGAAGCTAATCAAGTGATCAGAAATTAAGCTTACCGGAGGTATGTCACAAAGCAATGGGTTTCCCCATTCGTTGTTTGTTTTCTTACTGAAAAAAAGAAATCAAGTTTGTTTGGACGGCACATGAATCTGAATGAGCTATAAATATATTTATTCTGTGAATGTAGTTGTCCGTATTACTGAAGATCAATTAATATAACAATTCTTTTTAATAACCGAGAAATCTAGCCCAACCCCGATTGTGCTCACAAGCTGTGGAAGTAAGTGGAGTATGAGCCCGCCCCTCTGCCCTACTCTCACTTGATGCCATGCTTCAGTCAGTTTCGCAACGTGTGCCTAACCCAGACTTCAAGTATTGCGTCCTTATCACTGAACCAAAGCCCTATTGCGCTACTGAAGATTGCTTATTTTTCCATTTTTAAGCTGGTCAAGTTCAGTATTGATCGAGGAAAAAAACATCAGTATTGATGGTCTTTTCCCCAACGCTGGAACTGCAGTCTTTCTAGCAGTTGATAATTATTGTTGGCACGTGCTATTTTTTGAGCTGATCATTTGACTAAAAATTTTCAGAGGTATCCAAGCTTCTATAGATATTCTGCGGCTAGAGATGTTTGAAGAGGTCATTCGAGGTATAACTGTATTTGGCGAATGATCTGCACGAGAGTTCTTTGTAGAAAATAATATGCGTCAGATTGTTAAGACGGGTTAACGGGAAAGAAAGTGGTGCAAGTTAGATTTCTAACCTCTAAGGAATGCATCTTACAGAAATAGACTTGGGAGGGTTACATTGTCACCTTCTTTATTTTTTTATTTTTTTGTGATAACCATGTAGAAAGGTATATTCTGAGTTATTGAAGGATCTTAATGCATTGACATTATCTCTTAATTAACCAAGGAAAGATATTTTTGTATGCTTGTTTGTTTTCTTAATCTCTTTTCATTTACTACTTTGAATCTAATATAGGTGATGCTATTTCTTTTTATGTCTTTCTTGTAGAAAGGATCATGGCAAGGCTTTATGGTAAATGATACTGAAGAGAAGGAGTTAATGTTCAGTGTGAATAGGACTCTAAATACATTTACTACACTAGAGTTTGATATATTCCTTGGTGATGGACTTGATGAAGGCAAAGAGGCTGATCTCAAGATGAAAGGTTCTGCCTTTAAGAGATCCTGTACCATCTACAAAGGCAATTCCATAGTAGCTGAGGTATATTACGGTATAAGCAACTGAACTAGTCGAGGTAGAATTATATGATACATGTGCTAGTGAGAGGTAGCGGTGGAATAGTCGAGGTGTGCACAAGTTGGCCCAGACACCATTGATGTAAGGGAAAAAAGAAAAAGAGCAAGTGAAACTCAAGTTTTAAGGGAGGAAAAATCACTATGACTCTCTGCCTTAAATGGGCTGGAGATGAATTAGTTTACACCTCTTCTGCTAAAACCAACATAAGCTCTATTAGGAATCTTCCACACAGGATATGGCTATTTCAATGTGTTTTCTGTAGTTATGAAGAATATGTTTATAGGAGGGAAAAAAAAAAGACTTTTACTGACTTTCCATCCTATCGAAAGGTGCTTCCACTCCCCCCCCCCCAAACCCCCCAAGACACCGCTCGTTTGTCCTACATAAATATTTATCTTCTCCAGAATTTATCAGGGAAAAGCTCAAATGGATTCACATCGTGCATCATACTTCATATCTTGCATTGTCAAAGAAACAACCAAGGTTCACACTAGGGCCATATATATATATATATATACACACACACATATAGCATGATACTTCTTCGTTTTTATTTTACCCCAGGGGGCAATTTTTGGGTTGTATAATATACTTGGTTCTCATTGAATCCCTGGATTTTAAATTTCACTATAGAACTGTGTTAGGCATTAGAGTTGGCAGTAAAAACACTCTGTCAACCCTAGCTTAACATTTGGCTCGACTATTTCCTATACAATGTGGTATAGTATCTAGTCATTGGTCGCATTGTGACATTTTGTCAGGTAAATGCTGTTCCCTGGTAGAGCTATGTTTGCATGAGTTGTGCTTGAAAGTGTAGGTTTCGACAGATCTTTAGACTATACAGTTTCTTACTGCCTTCTCAGTTCTGGTTTTTGTATTATTGAGTCGTTTGTAGCATTAGCTTTCACGTAACTTTCATGTGTTTTTGTTTCCTGTTTGTCATATGTCTGAGCTGTTAACCAGCTTTCTTGTACTAAAATGCAGACCAGCCTTATGTACACACTTGGATTCCGGAAGCATTTCATTCCAAGGAACAGATTTCGAGTAACCATATTTCCCGGTTTCGCTGAGCTTAGTCTGGTTGTGGCTTTGGTTGTAATATTCTTTGATAAACGGAAGTTTTGGATATAAAAAAGGATCAATCTCTCAGCTTTTATCTCTTTATGGAGAACGACTTCCATGATAGAACTTAATTATGGGCCTTAAAAAAGAAAATTCCTTCTTATCTTCCTCTTGTTGAGGAAGGATTGATGTAATGGTTAACATATCAGGGGTTACCAGAGTCAAAATTTGATTTAACAGTAGGAGAAAAAGAAAAAGAAATGAGCCTTCTTCGATGAATTAAAACTTCTTTATTGGTATTTTCGAGTTACATGTATACTGTAACCCTTTTGCTAATAATCCAAGACCAGGAGGAGCACTACTTATCTAGTTATCTATATCATAGCAAGGTGGATGGTTGTGTAACAAAGAATTAAAATTTATGCGTAGTTTGATGTGCTCAAACTCCTTTTTTTCATTTCAATGTCAAAATTTTCATTAAATTACATTTTTCCTACATAAAAATTCAAAAGATTAGCAAAAAGTTTGTTCGGATAAGAAGATATAGCATCGCGGAAACCTTGAGTGAAGAAATGTCACCTTTGCGGTCCACTTTGCTATAATGCAAGTTTAAAGGATAACACCTGAACTTCAGAAGGTAAAATATGTGGTGCAGTTACAACATTATTGAGTACAAACACCAGATCAGGAAAACAAGTCGTAAAAGAACGAAAGAAGAATAGCTAGTGTGAAGATGTATATATGAATCTGTGACAATGTTCTGGATATGAAAGCATACAAACACAGAGGCTATATAACTAGCCTAGAGTACAGAGCAAAATTTCCAGAAGTAAACCTGACTGTTTTCCCCAGAGAGTTGGTCAACAGAGCAGCCAGATTATTTGCTGAGAATGACCAGAATCACAGAGCATAACGGATTCAATAATTTCCCTGTTAAAATCTCAATGTTATCTCTCGAAGTTGGAGTTTGTGCTGCTCATCGCATGAAAGGAACCAGCCATCTCATTTCTGCACCATTTCCATGTGACAGATAATATATTTTCTTCCAGCTTTCTTCTGTAAATGCCTCACGTTGGATGAGTCTTTGTCTGCCACAATCAGAAAATTTCACAAAGTTAGTATACTAAGAAGTGATCTTCTATGGCCACATAAGATTCAATGGCTCAATTTTGTTATAATCTAAATTCTAATAATGGGTCATCTGCACATTGACTTCGGATAGTTTATACCTCTTTCAACTCTGGCCATGGTAATCAATAGAAAATAACTTTACGTTAGGCTTCCGTAGTTGTTACTTCTTTTTCCCTTGCTTATGTTCACCCCCCCCCCCCCCCCTTTTTTTTTTGGATAATTCAATTGTTCACTCCTTTTCTCCTTGTTAATAATTCAAGTGTTCTCCTTTTTCTTTTCCCTCTTTTTTGTTAAGTTGTCTTTTCTTCACTATTTACGTGAGTGAATGGTGACAACAGGATCCTCAGTATTCACTCTTTTTGATCGAGTATCCTCAGTATTCACTCTTTCTTAGGTTTTACAAGCTATGAGCATACCTAAGGTAGTAATGACAAACGGCTGCAGCTTCATCCACACTATATCGTGGGAAGTTGATGCGAGCATCTGCAGGAACATCTGGTAAGTCTTTACGCAGCTTCCCTACAGCAGTTGAATGCGAGAAAGCACCCACCATCATATTGTCATGAATCATAGACCTAAATGCATTCACCTGCATATGATGGGACTATATCAGTAACCACACTTAAACAAGTAAGCTACAGTAAGAAGAGAATTTTAAGACAATTTAATAATACATTAAGATTTTTCACAGCCATGACAAACAAAAATCAGATGCATCCTTAGTTGTTTATCAACAATTAAATCTCTTGCAATTAACCAAGAAGTTATTAGTAGTAAAGTGTATTGAAATTATTGGAACGAGGCAATCCATAAGAGTACATGTCAGAATTTATGGCAACAGAATAAAGACAGAATTTGCTTCCAATTTTTGCTCTTACAGTTTTTTTTAATAAAAAATCAACATAAATTTATCAGTGCACGAAAGATTTGAAGGCATATTGAGCTGAGAAAGGCTAAGAACCTCTAAAACAACGATAAGATCCAGAACACTGCATAATTTCATTTGCTGGTTCTTATTTTTGGTGAATCAGTGTAACTTAACAATAGCTACAAGATGGTGCAAGTGTGCCACCAAAACATTGAAGGTATTCTCAGGCCAACAAAGGCACCAAGCTCCAAAAAACAGACCTTCGCAATCTATTCATTGTGGTGTAGCTCTTGCATCAAATGTACAAGAGGTTCAGAGCTGCTGTCAGCGAAACAGACCTCTCATGACTTCGGAGAGATCCTTGCTTCACCCCTTCCGAATGAATAACATGAGGCAAAATGGGGACTTCCAAACATCATTTTTTTGCCTTTGCTCAGCCATCCATTTCCTTTCAAAACATTGTCTACACTAAAAGCATATCCTAATAATTCAGAATAGAAAGAGCATATAATCACGCTAAAAACCCTCATTTTTCATATGTTTCAACTACAAGGATGGCACTACAGGCAGTATGTCACAAAAAGATTTGCTTTCCATCTCGAGTAAGTGCTGCATTTCATGGTTACAGTACTACTTCACTAGCTTTGACCGCTTCACGATCTAAGTAAAGTTATCGAAGCAGTGCTAGTCTTCAAGACTTGTGAACTCAAGTTTTATTGATATCAGCAGCATTAAACATGCTTGAGAAAGAGAGAGAGAGAGAGAGTTTCTCAAGCCCTCAAATTCTATGCAATAATTTTTTTACAACAGATTTATCAACATTGTATGCATGTGAATCGGTTGAAAAGTATGTCTAGTTAATACTCAGGTAGGCAGCATAGATAAATACTTTGAGATGTCATTTCACATCACTATATGTGACAGATGATCTTCATAAACCAGCCCAAATTATGCAAAGATAAGTTACAACACTTGGATTTTCATTAAAGCTTCCATGGATGCTCCAGGCACAAGAACAGGATTGCTCTAGATCAATATAATTCCATAGAGCGTGGATATTATTAAACACAATTTCCCAGATATTCCGCCAAACTTTTCTTAACATTCAGTTTTTATATTCTCAGTTTTCCATACCAAAATGATCCAAAAACGTGGAATCAGAAAGCGGATGCCTACACGATATAAACTTGAACCAAGGACATCCTAGATCCAATTAAGCAGCCTAACATCTTTATATTAAACACGGAGTCTCATTGCTCAAAAATCATAAAGATCGCGAAGAAAATGAAGGCAGGAGAACTGTGTAAATGATTAATGAAGCAACATTCTAGAACACTTCACATCTTACAGTTGCAAGTTCCTTAGCATGAATAGGTCGGCAAGACCGAACAGTTACTGGCTCCTCATACTCGCTGAACGTGAACCAACTGTTGTACTGTCGATTTACAAAAGACAAATCAGGAAAAAGGAAGGTGTGATCAATATCAATTAAAAAAGGAAATTAGCCCTATCCCAGGAATGATTCAAAGGGCAGAAACAAGAGACACAATCATAGTGAAGAGAATTTTTTTCTCACTTGATCAACTGCAATAAGAACAGGCACGTCCTTCACAAGTGATAATTCTTCCCTTACACGAACTACCACCCCAACAGCAGCGTGCGTGGAACCAAGTCCGACCTGAACCAGGTCAAGCAGAGTATAATCTTCTGGAATTTGTACCACATCAGCACCCTTCATCCATCCAACACCAGCTCCCTCTCCCAATGGAATAGGTTCAAAAATCTTGCAGGGCAACTTTTGGAGGTGATCCTTATTATACTTCAAAAAATCCTGAATTGAGAAGAGAGAGGAATTGAGTATCCCAAAGTTTGATTCTTTGACTTGTACATGAATTCAGTCAATAGAGGAAATTACTCTCTCCAGAAACAACAAGTTCAAGATAATATATGGAAAATATAGGGAGTTGGTTATCAAATGTATCTTTATTGAATATGAAAGTTACGCTAGACCTGCACATGTATTATATTTTAATTTTTCACAACCTTCATGTTTATGGAATAGGACAAATAGGGAAGTTATTATTAGCACAACCAACTCAAGCACTTGATAGAGGAGATAGCGCAATAGTAAAGTCACGGGAAAACATGCAGATATTGTGACGACATGATCCATATTTGTTACATGACATTGAAGAACGACTTTCCTTTTCTAAAGCAGCATATCAAGATCAAACTGTATATACATCGCAGTGCCAATTAAAAAATTTCCAAATATAGCCTACTAGCAGATCTTTTCCACTTCCTCATGGACTCAAGTAAAGTTGTTTCTGCATTTTATGATCTAATATTTGAAACAATGAGCGTAAAGAACTTGGGTTCATTTTTAGTTACTTAACTATCCACAAGGTATGATAATATTAATTACCACATGGAATTCATCTAATCATAAGTCTCATATATTAGAAAAAGTACAGTATTCTTGCCTGGAGAATATTTGCTGCTTGCACAGGAGTATCCCATAATCCTGTTTTAGGATTTTTATAGAAAAAGCCTCCATGAGTCCATTCTCGGCCTTTTGGAACGTAAAGAACTAGCCAACCTTCATCACGCGCCCAATGAACAAGCATTGCAAGGGCAATACTCTTTCCACAACTTACAGGCCCATCTAGTACAACTTGCTTTCGAGCTTTGTGACCTGCAAGTTGAGGAATTTCGTGAATTATTTCTCCTAATGGTGACTCACTGTTCAGATACATAAACCAGTTGAAGGGTGTCAGCGACAACGCTCCTCTCACCAGGTCTCTGCATGGTCTTTTGACAACTTTAGGGAGGATTTCCACAGGGGAAGAAACTATGTCCAGGGACTAGAGAAGTAAGAAAAGCAACTGAAGCTAATATGTACAGTTTATTAGGGAAATCATGAAATCTGGTAACCATAAGGGCAATTTTATTCTGCAACATGATCTATGAGTTCCATGACAGAGACTCAGCTTTAGCTCTGAAATGACAGAAATCAAGTACGTTTTGACGCTTCAGTAAGCACTTCAGGCAGCAAAAGAAGGGACATAATGGCAGCTTTAGTTGTAGACTAGTGCAGATATTGAGGAAGAGAAAAAGAATGAGTGTAAACTGTGATGTAAATTCCTACTCGTGTACTCGTTTTTCAAATTTGAGGACATTGAATTTTGCTCCTATATTAAGAAAAATAAAAAGCATTAAATTTGAAAAATATTTAAAGCAATGTGGAAAGCTAGGTTCTTGGTAGATCAAGTCATCAAAAAATCTTCACGCTAAAGGAAACCGTTTAGAAAGACTTTAAAGTGAATATTTCCATCACATAAAACCAATTTGTGCAACCATCTGATTCTGATTTCTTAAGGAGTTCATATTGCCGAAGGTACCCTTACAAGTTGATGCTGATATCTCCAATTTACCGTCTTCGATCAGTTCGGCCAGACTCATTAAACCTAAGCTTCCACTAAACACTTAGTACTGAAAGTAAATCAACAAATTTTTGCAACGGTGACAGTAAATTAACAAACTCGCGAACCTTAAATTTGCATCAATCAATGAGCTATGCCTCGATCTGAAACTAGTTGGGTTCAGCTATATAAATCATGTGTAACCATTCTGGTCCCTTTTGATCCAAATTCAAAACTCAATATTTAAAGCAAACTAAGAACTCTACAAAAGCAGGTGTGCTTACTCTATGAAACCAAATTATGCATCAGTCATCACAAATACAACTCTCCGCAATCATAATTCAAGTAACATAGATAATAAACCCTTGAACATATGTTACACCAAAAAGGCAAAGAAGGCACCTTTAGCATTATACTGCATTGTAGGATCAACAATACTTCTAAAATTATCTCGAAGATCCAGAAAACTCTGCCGTATTAGCAATGCATCTCTCATTGAGTCACCAAATTCCTTCAACATCCCAATTGGTAATCCTTCCGGCAAAACACTTTCCAGCTCCTCCCTCCTAAAACAACCATTTTCATTAGTACAAACACAAAGCAACTTACTTACAAAGTGAATCCAAAACTTCAATTCCACACGTACCAAGTACCACCCCACCTACTATACCTTTGTTACAAGAGTTTAAGTTTTGTGCACCAACTGTGTGAAAAATATTAACACAATCAGGTGACTTATTAGGTAATTACATGTAAATCTCTTCATAAGCATTAACTGGCAATATGATTAAATGGTCGCTAACCTGCTATCACATGTTAAAATTCATTTACAGTGTAAAAACAATTGCAGTGTATATAACTTAAATCCTTGTTATAACCGGAAGCAACTTAGTATAAACACATATCAAAAGTATACAATTTGAGCTAAATGTACCTGAATTTCATGTAAGTACACGTGTCTTTTTTGGTGAGTTGTGAAATAGAAGCTGCGGAAGTGAATAATGGACGACCATTTTGACCGATATTAAGGGATTCATCCTTCTCGTCTTCTTTGAGAGCGCGTGCACGAAGATCCTTATTGAGCGATTCCGCGCCTTTGGCTCCTGCAGCGGCATTGTCGGGTTTCATGTCGGGTCTGAAATTGGGTTTGTTTGGGTGTGGGCCTTTCGCAAATGTTCTAGAAGAAGAGAGTTTGGAAGGTGCTGAGATTGCCTCGGGGATGAGGATGTCGGAGGTGGTGGGGTGGGATTTCGCGGCGGAAGCCGCCGTTCGGAGAATTGATCGGAGCATTTCTTCAGGGTTTTGGAGCTTGAGGGTTTAGGGGGACGAAAGCTTCCACTGTTCAGTGTTGCTGTCGCATTTGATGGGTTTTGGAAATTTGAAAATTCTAAGAGGGTATTTTGGTCAAGTCACGGGAAAGTGTGGGTAAGCCCAATTTTAAGGTCCATTTAGGAGCTGGGCCTCATAGGCTGATCAATAGCTCGAATTAGCTATAAACGTTTTCGTTACAAGATGTTTATGCTTGGTCGAGTTTATGCTCTTTAAGCTAGCAGTGTAAAATATGTATATTGTCAGGTCAACAACACTAAAAAGTGGAATCCCACAAGTGGGATCTAGGAAAATTACGCAGATTTTACCCTTACCCTGGAAGATATAGAGGCTATTTTCAAATATATTGTCAGGTCAAGATAACCTAAAATAAAATATAACTTTTCATGTCAAGCATCTGATATGATAACTTGAACAAATAGAATTATAATCTACTAAAGCGATTAAATTGCATTGTTAGTGTTAAAGCAATTTACATTATCAATATATTAATTTAACTCGATTGGGTTAATCGACATAAAGTTTTTATTTGATAAAATGCGATTGAGGTACCCATTGACAAATTATTGTATTGTATGGCCATTTTACGGCCATTCCTTAAATTATGTCCTTTGTACTCCAATAACAACTATGACTCGATCACAAATAATTTGGAATCAATTATATGAGTCTTTTACTGATCATGTAATTCCATATAATCTCATTTCATGCCACTCGTTTGCAAATACAAATAGAGAGTATTAGAAAGTCGGTATATATTGTTTTTTGCTGAGAATTTAGCCTGTTAGGTTAAAGGGGAACATAATTTAGATAGTGACCTAAAAAGGGCCATTTGTGCAAATTCCTCCCTTGACCACCTGAATCGATTTTTTCTACGGGCCGCTCTACAATTCAAGCCCACCCGTTCATTCCAGACTAATAAATCCACAACCCACATTGTATTCCCTCTCCGGCAGCTCCAACCTCTTGGAATTTTCTCGCGCACATTCACAAAATCACAAAAACAGCAGGTTATACAGCTAGAGAAAGCTACTCCGGTAATGATGCTTACAGGAGACATACCACCGAATCAAACTATTTACATTAAGAACTTAAATGAGAAAGTCAAGAAAGAAGGTAACTTTTTTCCTTTTTCTCTTACTATTTCAAGATTTAAGCTAGGGTTTAGCAAAATTATACATTTGTTAAGAAATCATCAATTGTTAAAGCTGCAAAATTATTGAACCCTAGTATGTTAGCGGTGGGGATAAGTGTGAGGTTTACAGAACCCCTATTTTGCCTTAAAAACACAAATTTCTGCAGTGTTGGAATAGAATGTATTAGAGGAGTAATGGAACTTGATAACTTAAGTAGTAGTATACACTCTAAATTAAGACATATTATTTGATAGCTTTACGGTGAATGCAATATAAACTGCCACTGCCTTCTCGTTATTACAATGTTAATTTATACTCCATTTTTTTTTTGATGAAATGTTAATATACTCCTATTAATTTAGTAGTTGCATCAGTTGAAAGACAATGTATTTTGATCAAGTTATGCTCAATGAATTTGCCGTCTCTTGACTACAAGATTAGAAACTTGCTGTTCTCCAAACTGTAATGTGTTTTATTATTGAAGGATGATATCAAAGCATGTAGTTATGGTTTGCTTCGATCTGGTATGTCCTTTTCTGAACAAGTTTGGCATTAATGCGAGTGCTTTCGATAGGAGGGAATCACACTGCGACTTTTGTTATTTGATTATGCCTACTTAGAGGTTGTTATATTGAATATTTTGGTATTTACAGGTTCTTTTGGCTTTAAAATGTGTGGTAAGTAGTTTATATGTGCTTGTTGTCCTTTTATTCTTATTGTTCTTTTTCTACTTCATTTTCAACATTCACAAATCCTGCATGATATACTCCTCTTTTTTTTTCTTCCCCAAAGTCCTTTCATGAACATCAGGGCAAAATACTCTTAGATGTTCATCCAGCTTTCTGGTGATCGTTTTTTTTTAGTTTTTTACATATTCGTCTCAAAGCCTATATTATAATCGCTGCGTTGAGGGTTAAAGTTTAAACTTAGCAAGAAAAGAGTTGTAATTATCAAGGAGAAAGCTTCACGATTTGCTCTGTTAGTGATCTATCGAGTAATGAAACTTGTAACTCTTATGTAATACTGCATCAAGAAATGGTCTTCTAATGACATCAGATTGATTGTCTGTTTTTCTTTTGCTCGTTATGCTTTCAAATGCTATTTTCTGTTTGTTTATGGTGTGCCTGGAGTTTGTTATGTATACTGGTGGTGGAGCCATTTTGAACGGATTCTCTTTTCTAATTACTGAAAATGCCAAACATCCTCTGGCTTGTCTTTTGTATATTAGAAATTAATAAAGAATACAATTATTAGTTCTTATGTTTACCTCCTTCATCAATTTTCCTTTAAAAAAAAAATATATATTTGTTCTTACATTGTTTTTTTAGTGGGTATTACTACAGCTGTTTCCAGAAGGGTGGTTGTATGACCTTTGCTTTATGCTAATGATCTCTTCTTGTTTTGCAGAGCTAAAGAGGTCTCTTTATTGCTTGTTCTCTCAGTATGGGAGGATTGCGGATATAGTGGCGCTGAAGACTCCGAAACTTAGAGGACAAGCATGGGTTGTGTTTAGTGAAGTAACTGCTGCCAGTAATGCTGTGCGGCAAATGCAAAACTTCCCTTTTTATGACAAACCTATGGTGAGAGTAATGACAGTTGGGACTGTAGTCTGTTTTCTTTTGTGTGTTTTCAGCACTCACATGGCTGTTGTGGCATAACTGTTCAGATATGTCCTGCTTCGTTCTTCCCTTATTTTCTCTAGCTATCTGCTGAAGTATCTCATGAGCCGGAATGATTAATCTCCTTGAGAAGCATATGCTAATGTTATGTTTATATGATCCTTATCAACTTGTTATGTGTTGTGACATCCTTTGTCCTATCAGAAAAAGCTACTACTCTGTGTACTGTACTATAGTCTTCTAAAATGTGTCTTTTCAGCTTGGACTGCCCCCTTCTGGTTTTATAATGTGTCCCTGAATAATGTAATCTATCAAAATATGGAATTTGGAAACATATTTCTGAATTCACTTTATGCTTAGAGATTAAAGCATTTCAGTTTCTTGCTAAATACCTGTGCATCATCAAAAAGGTATACCAAGTTGGAATGGAGGAGCTATATTACTTTAAAAAAAAGGTGTGCCAATTTTGATAAAAGATTATAGTAATCTCCTCCCCCCCTCCCCTCGACTACCCTACCCAGGAGCCAAAGCTTTTTGCACTTTGTTTCAATGGTGCCTCTTATTCCCAATTGCATGGTTGGAGGTGGAGAGCCCTTCCCACTAGGCTATCCCTCCCTTTTCTACGTTAACTACAGATTGTTTGATTGATCTTTTAATTTATTTTTCTCCTGATTATGGTTGTGGTGGCATAACTAAGTGAACATATAGCTGCTTGCCTAAATATTGATGGACTTTGGCCGTAGATCTTTCATGAATTATGTCTCTAATTAAGGACCATGGAGACATGAACTTAAACCTAAAATTACACCATTAGAAAAACCAGATATATGTATGCTTGTGTTTTATGTGGAGGGGATTTACCTACCAGTTAGAATGAGAAAGTTTGCTATTGATATTTTGGACACTGAGTTTGATTTTCTCAAGAGTCTAGACATCTATATGCTCTACATAGATAGGAAAATGAAAATATGGACTAAGCTCCAGAACAATCTGCTTAACCTTACAGGCAAAAGAAGACATAGGAACTGTTTAATAGGGTGATAAAAGAATATCAGATTAATTAGGTGTAACCTGAGGTTTATCAGCAATCGTTAAAATGGAAAAGGTAGGTGGAGGTTGTGAAATAATTAAACAGAGTAAAGCTCTGTACCTGTTCCTCATTTTTGTGTAAATCCTTATGACCATATGTTTGAATGGAAGGAAATTTACTAACTTCTGTAAAAAATAGAAGTCTCAAATATGCATCCCTTTAGAATAGTTTATCTGGAAAGCTATCTCAACTTATTGCTTGGTTTTAATATTCAACATTTTGGAGCATGTCCTAACTGTCTCTGTGCTCGGTGCTTGTACGCTCACAAAGTGTGTCCTCTAGTTGCCTCTCAAAAACCTGTATACAAGTGCACATGAGACAATCTTTAGAAAGATACACATTTTTTTGTTTAATTTTTTCCGGGACTATATGTTTGTATAATATTCTTTAGGTTTGCTGTTGATCGCTTTATATGGTGTATAGCCGTAGAAGGATGTCAGTGACTAAGCTTTTGATATAATGCAGCGGTTACAATATGCTAAAACAAAGTCAGATTGTATTGCTAAGGCAGAGGGGACCTATGACAAGAAAAAGAAACAAGAGGAAAAAGGTGAAATCATTCTATTGTACATTATTCATCTGCTCCATCTTCTGTTAAGCTTCTCATTGGTCCCAAACTGCATGTTATGGCAATTCATCTTTGGAAATGTCAAAAATTGAACCCTGTATTCCAAGAAGAGCACTCTTTGCTGAAGCTAAGAGCAGTCATACAAGCTAAATAGACATTAATTGATATTTTTCTATTCCTTTAAGATTTGCCTTCTTGCAAAATTCTTTTGTTACAATTCAGCTAGAGTGCTAGACTGAATATTTTATAGTTCAACAGAAGGATTTTAATAGAATAGTAATAGATGCATAATCACTGAGTAGCACCTGTCAAATTGCATATGATCTTGTCAACATCCGCTTACTATTTCCTATCATTTTGGGTGCCATTTTTATGATAGCAGAGAGGCTTCAAGTCTAAAAACATTGAGTAGTGATGTAAAACTTTATTATGAGTACTTTAATAACCCACTTGCATGATCTTCATTTTGTCACAATCTTCAACTCAGTTTTCGAGCCTGATAGTGTTGCAGTACTAAACATGTGTATTTGCCTTGCATGCATAGCTTTTTAAGATGCACTTGGCAGTTAATTTTATTGACTTCTGGTGATCTGGACTAACTTGACATATAATTGTTTAGTGGAAAAAAGG